CAAGCCATTTTAACATAAAATACTCTCTGTAATTATTTTCTAAAAATGAAGTTGTTCCTAGTCAAAATGAAGCAAATAATGAGTCTTGACTAGGAACAACTACATTTTGACTATCCTGAATCCAATTTAAAATATCTGTATTAATTCTGACTAACCATAATTCCAATTCAAGATATCTTAAAAGGAACTTTGACTAGTCAGTTTTTTAAATTAAGAATTCAAAAATACAAGGCATAATTCACAAAGAATATACAGTTTAACATAAAACTGAGCAGAAAGGTGAACAATGAAGAGAAAAAAACAAATAATAACAGAGTATGCTACAAACAAAAGAGGACTTGTAGTTATTTGGTTACATCATCAGTTTATTGGTGTAATGATTATTGGTGTAATGATTATTGGTGTAATGATTATTGGTGTAATAATTGGGCTTCACTGTTGTTGCAGCAAACCAGCACTTCCTTAAATAAAACTACTTCATTTAGAAAAGTCTTAAATAAAGGGGTGATTTTAAAAAATGGCATTTATGTATAAAAAATGTACCTAAAAGGAATAAATTGTTTTTACCATTAGTTTGATTCTCTTTCCCCTGTTAGAAAACCCATTTTGATTTGATCCAAACTTAGAGGTGGAACACTTTTTTTACCCAGGATCCATTCTTGAACATTTTTAGAGGTCATTTCTAACTTTACAATAAAAGATGAGTCACAGAACACAGGAGCTGAAGTTCAAATTTGATTTATTTTATAAAAAGTCATTACAAGGATAAATATCATATATTAGTTTGAAATGTGCTTCTTTCACTTTTTTTGGGAGTGGAAAAGAAATATATTTGGTTCTATTTTTTCATCCTAGTTTTTAAACAAATACTTTCTTCTCATGGTAGATGGTAAAATGACAGAGGTCAGAGTATTTCTTATAAATTTGTTATTACGTTTTTCTATCAATAAAGTCACATTCATCAATGATCACTGACGGTTCTTTTAGAGTTATTGCTGAATTTGTCATTATACCTTTAATTTGTAGAATCATAGCAGGAGGAATTGCCTTTAATACTCTGTTAAACTGAATTTCAGTTCATGTTAACATGTATTTACCAATAAAAGCTTCATATGATAAAAAAGTTTCCATCTTTTTCCATAAAATGTAGAATCGACCCAATACCCTTCTCCCACCAATCTTTAAACAGGAAGATGCTGGTTTTATCAGGATGAATCTGTTCCAAATCAGGACAGAAAGTGGAGAACTTGAAGACAAGTTTCCAATATTTCAGAAGTTGTTTATGAAAGTCTGATAGTTTTATTTGGGTTTTTCTGAAAACAGAGAAGAAACMCAAACAGGATTCCAGCCAACAACCAGGTGAAAATGAAGACCCTAAACCCAGACCCAAACCAGTCGTCATTCCATACGTGGTGGGAGTTTCAGAGAAACTGAGACATTTATTCTCTAAACATGACGTCCCAGTGGCTTTCAAACCCCAAAACACGTTACGACAAAGATTWGTTCACCCCAAAGATCCGGTTCCTCGGCAAAAACAGAGTAATATAGTGTATGCTGTTAAGTGTCAGGAGGACTGTGATCAGTTATACATTGGAGAAACAAAACAGCCATGGTTCAAAAGAATGAGCCAGCACAGACGATCTACATCATCGGGTCAGAACTCTGCAGTTTACACTCATCTACAGGCCAGGACTCTACAGTTTACACTCATCTACA